GTAAGGAAGGTCTAAGCGTCTGACACATTTCACATGACTCTATCATATTTTTAATATCGTTATTGATTTTTGGCCAGTATACTGTTTGTCTAGCACGGCGTTTTGTTCTCTCAATGCCCTGATGTGAATCGTGAAGTCTCTCTAACACCATTTTTCCTGCAGATGCAGGTATGACAATTTGGCATCCTTTCAGGACAAAGCCATTATTATAACTTAGCTCATTTCGGGTATTCCAGAATGGCATAAGCGAAGAGTAAAGCTGGTCCTTTTGCTCTGGAAACCCTTTTTTTATGGCTGCAATTAACTGCTGGTATGTGTCTTCTTTAGATGCAGATTCTTTCAAAAATTCCAACAAAGAGTCTTGAAGATGTGAAGTTCTAGTTAATTCTTCAGTATTATCTATTAATGCCACTTGTTGTATGACAAAAGAATTAACATGAACTGTGGAATCTTCTCCAAAATGTTCATCTTCATTTGGTGGATTTATAGGGGCTCGAGACAATGCGTCTGGGATTAAGTGATTTAGTCCTATTGTCCAATCTACTATAAAATTATAGCCACATAATTTTTCTTTAAGTCTCTGAATTCTAGGATTTTCTATCATGTCTAAAGTATACGAATTTAGAATTGGCAACAATGGCTTGTGGTCAGTAAGTACCTTAAATTCATTTAGGCCCAATAAATACAATCGACATTTTTTTATAGCCCAAACTATTGCTAGTAATTCGATCTCTATCATTGCATATCTCGTTTCAGTGTCAGATAAAAACCGGGATCCGCATTGTACCAATTTCCAGATGTCTCCATGTTTCTGAAGCAGGGCGAATCCCAGACCATTCAATCGTGAAGCATCTGCATGCAAAGCGGTTGGTAATGTTGGATTAAAGGTAGCTAGGATCGGTGGCTTTATAAGAGCTTCTCGGATATTATTAAATGCTTCATCATGTTTAAGACACCAAGTATATTGATTTCTAATTTTCAGTAAGTCTCTTAAAGGACCTGCAGCTGTACTGATTTCAGAAGAGAAGCTTCCAAGCTGATTGACCATACCCATGAAAGATCGCAGTTCTTTTATACACGTAGGTTTTGGGTATTTTTGAATTGCTTCGACTTTCTTGGGATCAGCTTCAATACCATTCTCTCCTATTATATAACCGACATACTCAATTTTGGACTTTTCAAAAACAAATTTATTTGGATTTAATGTAATTCCGTAAAGTCTACATTTTTCTAGAAGCTTGGTTATTCTTTTAAAATGATTTGAAAAGCTCTCGTCGTATACTAATATGTCATCGACAACCTTCTCGATATTGGGGATATCTGATAAAGCCTCATCTCCCCTTCTGCAAAATTCATCTCCAGAGCTTATTAACCCCATAGGTGCCCTCAAGAATTTATAACGCCCCCAGGGAGTTAAAAATGTTGTCAAATTTTGGCTCTCTTTATCGAGAAGTATTTGCCAATATCCACTTTCCATGTCTAGAGTTGAAAAGTACTTCGCATTGCCATTGATATTAGATACTGCTTCCCATGGATGTTTGAATGGATGTACAGGTCTTCTAACAAAACGATTAAGTTTTGTAAAATCAACGCAGACTCTAAGTTTACCATTTTTTTTTTGTACAATAACGAGTGGACTGACAAAATCTGTGGGAGACTCTTCAGCTTGTATGATAATGCCTTTTTTTGTTAACGAATCTAACTCTGTCTTTACTTGTTCCCTCCATGCAAATGGGATTCTCCTTGGACAAGTAATTGCATATGGAACTACATTATCTTTCAGATATATATGCATTGGACGTCCATCCATTGGCTTGAGTGTTTTTGTAGAACCAAAGACGTCGTTGTATTCTGTTAAGATCATTTTGCGTATTTCTTCACAGTCTGCCTCTGTAGGATTTTTAGGAATTTTCAATTCTAGACTTTTGATTGAGCTATATGAAAATAACTGTCTTGGAAATTATGAATGGATGATACCCAATTCGATCATTGACCTTCTGTCGATAAGCAATTCTTTGACACCAGAGCAAATGTGAACAATTATTTTTGTGCTTAAATTTTCGTATTTGATTTCTAATTCTAAAAATCCAAAACTGGTTAATTTTTTTTTATCAGCAGATTCCAAACATATTTTACTTTTTCTTAAATCATCTCTCTGTAACTTTAATTTATTTAAGAGCTCATCTCCAGCTACGCAGACTTCAGCTCCAGTATCTGGTGTAGCTTTATAATCCACGCTGACACTGGGATTATTAAATGGTTTAATTTGTACTCGAATCTGTCTTTTTAAGTGCCTCCCGATTAAGTTTTCAACAGAATTTATTTTAAGACATCCAATTCTGGCTACTTCACCTTCGTCCTCAGATAAATATTCTATTGCTTTCACTACTTTTTTAAGACAGCATTTTGTATAATGACCTTTCCTTTCACATTTTTCGCATTTGGTATTCTTTGCCGGGCATTCTCTTATGCTAGTATGCCATACATTGCCGCATCTTGGACACCTTTTTGCTGAAGAACTATTAGTAGCATGATTTGCTTGCACTTTGGAAATACTGCCGTGACAAATATTATCTTCGGTCATTGCGGCTTCTTCTGCTTCGCATAATCTAACTATATCTTCAACTTCTGCGTTGTCTGACAATTTTCTACATTTTTTTCGTATATTGGGATCATATAGAGATTCTATAATATGATCTGCCAGACAACGAGCATAACAATGTGAACAGGGATCGGTTAACTGAAATAATTTAACTTTTTGTCTGTAAAACGTTGTAAAGGGTTCCCCTTGTTCTTGTTTTTTTAACATAAACTGGCTTCTTCTTAGACGGCTATTTTCTTTCTTTTTAAAATATGATTCTAATTTACTTAACATATCATTCATAGTTATGTTTTGAGCCATATCGATTCCAATTACAAGTCTTACGACGTCGGATATTTCTTGGTCGAAGAACGATTCAAGAAGTGCCAATAGCTGCTTTTCAGGTGCGGAACTTACATCTTGAAACACTAAATAGTTCTCGAATCTTCTTCTCCAATCTTTGAACTGGGAATAGGTCAACGAATCTACAATTTTTTCGGGGCTGGGAATAGCGCTTGATAAGCGAATGGCACTTTGATTCGAGGAAGATGTACTCACGTTTATATTTTCAATTTCAGATTGTCTTTTTCTTGAAGTTTTCATCTTCGTTTTGGGGAAGTAACTTTTCAATTAAATTTCGCATTGTAAAACATTGCTGTTCGAAATTATTTTCTATTCTGGACAAAGCATCTTGAGTGTCTTTTTTTAAAGTATTATTATTGTCTTTTGTTGACGATAGTGTTTGTTCAAGAGAACCAAACCTATTGTTAAAGGCATCCTCTTTTTCTTCGGCTAATGCCTTTGATTTTGGGGTTTTCTTTGGCATCTGCTCTTAGCACCGTTTTTTTTTTTTTAAATAAAAATGTTCTTAGTACTTTACGCGTAGATCTTTACAGTATATATATTTCTTTATGACTGCGCCATGAAGTAATTGTTTAATTATAACAACTTTAATATAAAACTCGTTTATTTTCTAGTTATGACAACTTCATACAAATTAATGACAAACCTTCCCTATAGCTCTAGGAGTAGGTATATAGTATACACATATCACCACAATTGAGAGGTTGGCAACCACTGCCTTAACCCATGTTGTTTTCGAATTGATTTGTGTTATGTAATGGTGGGCATACTGTCCCTTTTCATTACAGCAAACGCGTGTGGCCTCTTTGACTAGCATTGCTTCAGAGAAAGAAAGAAAATAAGTCGTTAAGCGATCTTGAAGGTAACGTAATTATTTTTTAACCAGTGAAGAGTGGATGACGCTTGTGGAGTATTTATTTGTCGGAGAACTTTCTTATCGGTTAAGATAGTTTGAGGATGTCTTTAGGAGTTGCATAAAAATCAGGAATTAATGCTGAATGTATATTGGATGCAATGTTAAGTGTAACGATGAATATAATTTGTTGAATGTAATTTAAGAGTGTCCTTTAGGCAATGAATGCTAGGTATACTTGTTCTTCTTAAAATATACAGAACAGCTATGCAGATATCAAAACCCATATTTCGAAGCTCGTAGAGTATTTATGTCTGGACAGGAAAAATCCACAAAATTTTACTTGTAATTTACTTGTCGTACAGTATTCGAATCTGTACAGGAAAACTAGAATTCTAACTTAAAACTGCTATCCCATCTTTAATCAATTTATACGGGTGTTCAGGGGATTGCGTATTGCAAACAGAAATGACTGTAGTATTTTTAATACAAATCTCGATGCACGTTAGAGGTCATTTATGACGTCACGGCCTTGCAGTGTTGTCTAATCGTCAGAATAATTTGAGGAATTTAGAAAATTTTGAAATTGTAAGGTTATGTATTTGTTTGTTATGTTACTAGGAACAATTAGTTTTAAATGTTTATAAATAATGGAAAATATTGAATTCCTTTATGAATAAAATAAACAATAAAACTATAAACATATTGAAAGTCATGGAAAATTAAACTGTAAGGTAGTATGTTGCAGATGGATCAAAATTGGTCCAGAATTAGCATAGAAAATATCTCAAACTAATTTCATTTCACCAAGAAAGTTATTTAACAGAACTACATTTAAGTTATAAACCACAACCATATTTAATTGGCATTTCCGCTATTTACCTTTTGATTTAAATTCGAAATATATTAAGGAAATAATAATTTTCGAATTGGACCAAAATAACTATTAAAATACATTACTTAAAATTGTTTCGCTGTAATAAACTATTATTAAATAAATATTTATTAAAATCATTTACTATTAGTAACACGAACAAAGGCAGGTACACCAATGATTTATTTTATTTATATAAACTATTGTGTTTTTTAATAATTATATGAACGAAAGGTTTTACTTTTAAGGTTTTATTTTGAAATGTAGGAAAATGTAAAAATAAAATAAATAAAACCGAAAATTAGGAGGTATATTTTTTGTTTTGAATAAATACAATATTTTAAATTTCAATCCTTTATAATTATTTATTCAACTCATTTTTCGATTTTTATCTTCCTTCCAATACGTTTTGTAGTAAAACTCGCTAAATAGACAAAACATGAACATGTTTTGAATAATAAATAAGAACGCTATAACTGAAGGAAATGTCTTGCAATCTGGTATTATGCTTTCAAATGTGTAGATTAAAATTAATGATAGGAACTGGATCTGAAAAAAAAAAAATTATATAAATACACATATGTACAGACATCGCAACCTAATTTGTGTAAAGAGGGGATGCGCGTTAATCTCGAATTTCAATTGTCGTGTTGTCGGGGGTAATCAGTAGATGATAATATTTTCTTGAATTTGTGTTTGTGTAGCGTGCAGATTTTGAGTTATAATTTATTTTTATTTGTTTGCAGTATTTTCTTTTGAGTAGTGACTTACTTATGTTAAAATGCCGAAACATTTAGGTAGTCAAGCAAAGGAAATAATATTTCATCTATTCGAATATTTTATAAAAAAAAAAAAAAATAGTTCTGAAAAAAAAAAAAAACAACGATGATAGTGAAACTTATAGAACCTGTGTTGTGAACGATGATCTCAAAACTCTGACTGAAATTAAAGATCAAGTTGCTTAAGCTACAGGATACTCGCTAAAAACAATTGAACGAATACTTATAGAAGGTGAGATATCAAAAGGTGAAAAGTCTACGTCGACCATACCTAAACAATTGTTTAAAAGTCCAAAAAAGCACAAAAGAACATCAAGTGTAACATCCTACAATATTTGAACAAACAGAGATATAGTTAATAGATTTTACGAAAAAGAAGGTATGCGCGTAACAGTCAAAACTCTACTTGAAAAATTAAAAAAGGAAATTGGGTGGAAAGGGAGCTATATATAATTAAGAACTATTTAAAAAAAATGAGTTTAAGTGGCGAAAAACGCGAAACAACAGACAAGTTCTAATCGAACGGCTTGACATCAGGGAAATAAGAATAGATTATATTAAAAAAATTAGATATTTTCGTTCTCAAAACCGTCCCATTGTATATATTGATGAAACTTATGTACATTGCTACCCATACATCATCACATAATTGAGGTGATGATAATGCAAAAGGTTTGTTTTCCACCATTTCGAAAGGAAAGAGACTTATTATAGTTTATGCTGGTGGTAACATGGGCTTTATTCCTAACAGTTTATTAATGTTTGTGTCTGGAGCCAACTCTGGTGATTATCATAATGCTATGAATCAACAAAATTATGAAAAGTGGCTAAGAGAACTGTTAATACCAAATTTATTACCAAATGCTATTGTAATTCTGAATAATGCACCGTATATCACAATGTTATAGAAACTCCTGCTCCGATTTCAAATTCAAGAAAAGCTGAAATGATAAACTGGTTGACGTCCAACAATATTGAAATTCAACCTTCCTTATTACGACCACAGCTGTACACATTAATCAAACAGCATAAAAATAGATTCAAGCAATACAAATTTGATAGATTATTCTCCGAACACGGTCATACAGTTTTGAGATTATCACCATACCACCCAGACTTAAATCCAATAGAAATGATCTGGGCTGTAGTAAAAAATAATGTAGCTATAAAGAATATTCATTTTAAATTAGCACATTGACAAATGTTAGCTGAAATAGAATTAAAATCATTAACCCAAGAAGACTGGAAAAAAAGATGTGCATATGTAATACCTGTCGAAGATAAATATTTGGATCGCGAAATTATAATGGATAACGTTGTAATTCCTACAGTTATTATTAATGGTAATGAAGACAGCAGTGATAGTTCTAGTGATAGTGATGATTTTGATGACGATTTTTAGAACTCTGTTAATTTGTTTATGTTTATTTTGTTTGATAGTAGTTATAGCAACAAGGAGAAGAGGTTAGTATAAATTTAGTATTTGTTTACCTATAACATATTTTTAAAAAATCCTCTTTGTCTTATTTCAATATTTTGTTAAAATATTAAAAATATCAAGTGTAAAATTACCATTTTTTTTTTCACCCAATAAATTTTTTTTAAAAGAATACATTTTAGCTCATAGATAACAAATAAATTTTAACAAATTCTGTAGTACTTAAAAACCTATTTACATTATTGCGTTTGACATAAATTACAAAACATAAAATATTAAGAATGTTATAAGGGTGGAAATGAATGGCAAAAGTATAGAATTTGAAAATTTGCAAGATAATACATTTGGAATTTTAGAAGAAACAGATGATCTATTGAAAGAAAAAGTAAAGAAAGAAATAGACGAACAAAAAATTAAAAAAAAACTATAAAAAGAAATAGAAAAGAAAAATAAAAATTGAGGACGAAAAAGTTAGTAAAGAAAAAAAATTAAAAATGCAGAAAATGAACTGGTTAATAATAAAAAAAATAAAATCAAAAATTGAATAAATAAAGAAGACATCTCGAAAGAAAATAAAAGAGATTTTAAAATAAATCAATGAGTACAACAGAAGGCAAGATAAGAAAAATAAAAGGAGGATAAATGAAGAGAAATTTAAGAAAACAGTAAACAGGAAAAAATATGTAAACGGAAAAGAAAAATATAAAAGTGTAAAAAATAAAGTTAGAGCGAAACAAAATTGAAGAAATCTAGAAATAAATTGAAAGTGATTGCAAAAGAAATCAAAGAGTACAACAGAAGGCAAGTTAAGATAGATAAAGTAAAAATAAATGGAGGAGAATTTAAGGAAATGTAAGCAAACACCATGCAAAATGGAAAGAAAAATATATGAACGTGTGCTTCTATTTTTTTTGTGCCGTAAATTTTCATTAGACCAGAAATGTATTCATTTTTTTATCATATTTAACTTTCCTATAAATTTCACAGTTTTAAATCTACTTTATCATTTTTGACATCCAAAAGTAGTTTTGGTTAAACTTTTTATTTTGTATTTTTTTGTCGTATTTGTAATTTTAGCAATATACCAAATTATCTCATATCTTTATTGCCAGCAATTTTATATTGTAAACTTCTTAAGCATTTAAACCAATATGATCATCATAATAATATAAAGTTTATTATTTTTTTTTTAATTGAATACAGGGTGTTAATATATACTTTAGGTCGCATAATGGGCCTTTTACTTAAAAAAAATATGCTTAAAGGGGAATGGCCAAAGGCAATGCCCACCCCCCCCCCCCTGAAAATTCGTCTTAGAGCCGTCCTTGGATCGCAATCTAATTTTTCTAATTCATGAACATTGCATAACATAACAATGTTCCCTCTGTGATAAAATATTTTTAAAATTTTATTTATTGCCCCCTTTAGGTGCTAAAGCATACCCATTTATCTTGTCTTCAGATCAACACATGATGTATTTCCTCCAGCGGTTACCCAACCAACGGTAATAAAATATTATCATCATTTTTATAACTTATTATTGTTTAATTAATGTAACTCTTGCGATATTTTGTCTACTTACGAGTTGAAGTGTAGTAAGTGTTTTCTTAAGAAATACACTCTTCTTCCATGCAGAATCGATGCTTGTGAGAAGATAGTAAACGAACATAATGACATGTATGAAACAATTTAGGACACCAATCAACATAATGGTATCTCCTAGATCATATTTGGCACCTACCCATCCGGTGAATATCATAATGCCATGATGGTATACGTGTAAGAAACTTACTTGCCGATCACTTTTTCTTAGTACAAAAAATACCTAAAATCAGAACAAAATTTTTGAAATATAAAAATATATAATTCCCAATCCCCCCCGCAACAATATTAAAAATATACTTCAATATCCCTAAAGTAAAAACAAACCAAAGGAAAATTGAAAAATCTTATAAAAAAAAAATGAATGCATAGACCAAGTATTGAACGTGGAACCTTCAAACTAGAGCCTACCGCTCCTCTACCGGTTGGGTTCTAGAAGCACATGTCTGTAGATTTGAAGAAAGCCCCTATTATACTTTTCACATAGTAGTCTGTGAACAGTACGATAGCGTCCGATATGGCTTTTTTTTGTCAAAAACGAAAAACAATATCAATCAGCTCTATAAGGGGACAAAGCCTATTGATTTTGAAAAAATCTATATAAAAATGGTGAGATAAGGGGGGTTGAAATATTGAAAAAAATATATTTATATACACCGTGTCCCACGTAAGGCGGGCATTACAACTTTATGGAAAATAAATTAATTTGTATTTTCGCCATTTTCTGAGTATACATAATTGAATATGTTCTTTTGAATTAAAATAAAATGAACTTTGTGCAACTTCCGGTTATACCGGAAGTGACCACTAACTTCGTTATTTTAAAGGGAATACCCCATGAAATTCTGTAAACAACGATACCCCATTTGCCTATTCTAGTTATAGCGGATTTGGCGTTATTCAATTTTTTCTACATTTTTAGTCGCCGGTAGACATTTTCTTAAAGTCGTCTATCTCAGGTACTATATCTATCAGATAGTTAAAATTTTAACCAGAGGTAGTAGATGGGATGTACTTCTTGAGAATATTTAGTTATTCATTATTTGTTGTACGGGGTGTTTGCAAATTATTTTTAAAAATGAAATTTTTTAAACATAAAAACTTTTTTATTTTAAAGGGAACACCCTATATAGTTTTTAAATTTTAGATTCAGCATGAAATTCTGTAAACAATGATACCCCATTCGCCTATTCTAATTATAGTGTATTTGGCGTTATTCAGTTTTTTATAAACTTTTATATGCCGGCAGACATTTGCTTTTTTACTTTCCAATCTGTATACAGATATAAGGAAAGTATAGGAATCATGATTTTTAAATTTACTTGTACATCGTTTGTTCGACTGTGTGCTTGGAAATTATTTTAAAAAATAAATATTTTAAACGTGAAATTTTTTTTTATTTTAAATGGAAAATCCTGTATATTTTTATTTCATTTTGTTCAGAAAATTATTCTTCATTGATCTTCATTTGCACTATTAATTCCCTATAATTATCTCTCGCCAATTTTAAGAAAATTTAAATTTAAATTTTACGCATGCACCTACATAATATAGTATAGTTTTACATTTTAATTTTTTATCTTAGTATGCCGTGGAAATATGCTAAACAACAATCTGGCAACAAACTGAATTGTCATATTTCTATGTATGTAAGTTGTGTATTTTTTGCGTTCAAAATATGGAAAATATTGAAGAATATACCAACCAAGATATTCTTAATTTATTTTACATTCATGGAGAATGTAATCGAATCAAAAGTAGAACCTGCCGCATGTTTAATGAACGATACCCTCATTTACCACCAATGAACAGACAGAAATTTGATAGAATCGAAGCTAACTTTTTGAATAATTTTAAACAAACCCCGGGAAGAAACCGTCAACATTATGTCCGAGATGAAGAAGTTAATCTAATTAACGTATTAGGGTATTTTACTGCGTATCCTAACGCCTCCATTAGAATGGCTCAAGATAATTTAAATATTAGTCGAGGGTCAATACAACGAATGTTAGTACTAAATAAATGGCATCCCTATGCACAAAGAAAAGTTCATGAGTTGCGAGATGGTGATCAAATAAGACGAACTGAATTATGCGAATGGTTATTGGTACGAATTCAAGAAGATCCCGAGATTTTAAACAAAATTTTGTGGTCAGACGAGTCGAAATTTACACGTAAAGGGATCATCAATCGCAAGCAATGTAATTTCTGGGCAAACGAAAATCCACATTTTTATCGGGAAGCACAATTACAGTACGAATTTAGTTTTAATGTGTTTGCAGTGATCGGTTTTGGAAGAGCTTTTTACTACATTTATAATGAAAGACTGACCTCAGAAAGATACATTAGAATTCTTAGAGAAGTAGTTGCCGACATTTTAAACCAGCTACCAAATAATAATTTTTGGTACCAGTTGGATGGTGCCCCAGCACATTCAACATACTATGTAAATCAAGAAATTACAGCACTCTTTGAAGACCGATGGATAGGTCCAAATAGTCCTTGACTTTGGCCTACAAGATCGCCAGATCTAACTCCTGTTGATTTTTTTTATGGGGTCATATTAAAAATTTAGTGTACTCTACCCAAATTAATACTAAAGAAGAATTAGAGCAAAGAGTTCGGAATGCCTTTAACGAGTTAGATGGTGAAATGATTCGTAAAGCAACAACTAATCATGTTGAAAAAAGATTGTTAAAATGTTAAGAAGCTAACGGGGGGCATTTTGAACTTTTGATTAAATGATTTTTTTAAACCATGTGCTTTTAATAAAAATTGTTTTTAGTTAGTATGTACCTTATCATTAAAAAAATTTAAACTTTTTAAAGGACATATTTTGTTGCAGAAAACTGTAAATGTTTTTAAAAGTACATCCCATCTACTACTTCTGGCTAAAATTTCAAGTATCCAACAGAAATAGTACCTGAGACAGTCGACTTTAAGAAAATGCCTACCGGCGCGACGACTAAAAATTAAAAAAAAAATGAATAACGCCAAATCCGCTATAATTAGAATAGGCAAATATGATATCATTGTTTACAGAATTTCATGCTGAATCCTAAATTTAAAAAATATATAGGGTGTTCCCTTTAAAATAAAAAAGTTTTTATGTTTAAAAAATTTCATTTTTAAAAATAATTTGCAAACAAATTTGCAAACATGTACAACATGTACAACAAATAATGAATAACTAAATATTCTCAAGAAGTACATCCCATCTACTATCTCTGGTTAAAATTTTAAGTATCTGATAGATAAAGTACCTGAGATAGACGACTTTAAGAAAATGTCTACCAGCGACTAAAAATGTAGAAAAAAATTGAATAACGCCAAATCCGCTATAACTAGAATAGGCAAATGGGGTATCGTTGTTTACAGAATTTCATGCTGAATCTAAAATTAAAAAAAAATATGGGGTATTCCCTTTAAAATAACGAAGTTAGTGGTCACTTCCGGTATAACCGGAAGTTGCACAGAGTTTATTTTATTTTAATTCAGGAGAGCATATTCGATTATGTATACTCAGAAAATGGCGAAAATACAAATTAATTTATTCTCCATAAAGTTGTAATGCCCGCCTTACGTGGGACACGGTGTATATCAAATTGAAATCTTTAAGAAAGATCAAGCTTTATAAGGGGATAAAGCTTATTGATTCTGAAAAAATCTGATTGAAAATGGGAGTTAAAAAGGTCTGTTCAACTATGAAGAGTATGATATAGAATGTAGCCATTTTTACAACTCGGGAAACTGGAAAAAAACGTCCTTTTGACATTTGCCAAAATAACCAGATACATTTCCTAAACTTGAACATTTCAAGCTGGATTCGAATTTCAGTAAATGATGAAATATTTTAAAGTACGGGGAGGCTCTTGCAAATGTTTAAAAACAGGAATTTCTAGGATATAAAAATGAGAACGTTAGGCGGAAATTAATTTAAACTAAACAATTTAAAATTAAATTACAGGAAAACTAAGTGACTTCGTCACAAAAAAAGTTTATTTGTTGTAAACAGTGATTCACAAAAATGTTTCTAAAGTAGGCAAAGATGGACAAAATTGTCGTTATAATTACACACGGATTTGAATTAAATCCAAATTAACAAATAAGAGATTAAATATTCCAATGCCTACTTTAGAACGATTTTGGTGGATCACTCCATATTTTCTTTGTTGGAACTGATAATTTCAAATATATATTTCGAATAACTATACTTAAAAAATGTAAAATTTCTTACCGTCTCCATGCTGTCCAACAATTTTAATGCAAAATATTGTTGTCGGGTTGAATAAACCAAATCTCTCAATGGACTTTGCACACATAGTGTATACGGAGATGCTTGTATTGTAAGAAAAGCCTAAAAAATTAAGAAGCATATTTTTAATTTAAAGATATTTATAAATCTTCTCTGGCCGAATAGCAATAAAAAATGTATTTTACGACAAGAGCTGAGACTTTTTTGAAAAAATTTTGTTGTTTCTTTGAAGATTTGCATAATTTGCAAGAAAACACAAAATGCTCTAAATAAAATTCTCATCTCGCGTGGATTTGAAAAGATTATTATTTACCAATATAGACATAACATTCATAAACAACAATTTTTGCTTTGTATTTTGTAAGTTTTGTTGAACGGTAATTCTGTTAAAAGCTATTTCAATTTTTGGGCAAAAATGTATTCTTAAAAACATTCCCAAAACAACCAAAACCACCAAAACCATTTTTATTCATTTGCCTCCACCTTTTTGACAAACTTCACATTGACGTTTCGAAGGATTAACTGAAAACACTGCACCATTCAGTGTTTTCAGATAAAGGTTGTTTTGATTGGCGTGTGTTGGAATAAAATATGATTATCATTAGTTGATATATTATAGTGTTAAATAATCTACAACATATTATTAAAATTGCTGTTTCATAAAATATATGTCATAATTGTAATGTTACTGCCATCTTACAAAAGAATGTCATTAAAATTGAGCCACTTAACTTTCCACTAGTGGAACGCTACACGATCCTGCTGACTTAATCAAAAATGGGACAGCTTTAGCGGCACTACAACGCAAGCACATTACGGAGTTTTAGGGGAAAATACAACGAAAATTACACATCTATTGGTTGCCTAAATAAATTATCAGGGCTGGACCGCCTACTCCGCTTGCTTGTTTTTTGTTACGATATTTTCCAATCTTGAACTTACTTTAAAATTAATTTTAACGAAGATGTAGCGGATCTATCCTGTGATTTAGGTAAAGTTTTTTATTGTGTCAATCATACAGTATTCTAGTTTACAGAATCAAAGACGAATCGCTGATAAAATATTATCTTTTCAAAACGCAAATAGTATGATTAATGATGTACTCTCAAGCTTTAGATATAAGTTGGGGAGTCCCACAGGGTTCTGTGTTAAGTCTGATTTTATTCCTTCTTTAAATAAATGACTTAACATTGTAAGTACTTTCGCTATAATTGCTGATGACACTACGATTTTATTGCATAGAAATGACACCTGTAGAAAGTCTCAACATTTAATGGAGTAATACGATAAAATTTCTGGGCATCAATTCAGACAATAATTATTAGAAATGTAAGATCCATATAAAATTGCAATACAAAAAACTTTCTTCTAGATGTTTTGCAGTAAAAACTGTGGCTAAGGAAATAGTTTTTAAACCAGCTAAAAGTGTATATTACGCTCTAGTTGAGTACTATTGAAAATAAATGGAATAGCATTTTGGGGAAGTTTTAACCGTTGGTTAGACAATACTCTTTTTTGTCTGCAAAAAAGAGCAATACAATTCTTATGTAAAATAAACAACTTCGACACATTTTGTCAATCTTCTCGTGTAAGAGAATAATTCCACCAAATACTGTCGACGACATTGGGTTAATAAAAAAATATGATATAAACATCAATGCCATATTTGTTGATGATTTTCATTCATTTCGGAAAATGTGGTGGCCTACAATCTGGTTTTGATGTCAAAACTTAAAAAAACATGTTATATGTTTAAATTGCATTGAGCTGTTAATTTGTTCTGATGATAATGAGATAACCTTGCGCTCTTCAATACAAACAATCGTGAGGTTTAATAGCACCATCAAAAAATATAATAAAAACAAGCACTTTCATCGGGTAAAAAAAAATACGTTAGACCTTGTCCCTTACTATTAACATGATACCTCCGGAACCAAATTATATTAAAATTTTTAACAGACGCCTTAGTATTTTTCTACTTGAAAATAATTATTATAATGAATATGGTGACCATTTATTTAGTTATTCTGCAGGAGAAGAGAGACATAGAATAAAAATAAGTAAGTTTATAACAAAAGTTTATTTTATAATTAGATTTTTTAATGTAGCCAAAGCGCATACTGCAATTTTTAGGGGAACATCTATCAGAAAAAATTTTCTAAGCTCATTCTTTTCCATCACCAATAAATAAACTTTAAAGTCGTGTAAGTATGTAATAGGTACAAGACGGGTGCAAAATAAATGGCACAATTACACTGAGAAATACCTATTGTACCTATTGTCCATGTACGTATTTTATCTGAAATCAGTAATAATTGAATGGTTATTTTTCAGTGCAGTTTATACTGTTTATTTTGCACCCGTCTTATATAAGTCATAAAACAACAACAATTAGCAAGTCGGGTTCCAGCCGGATATTAAAATGCTCAGGTTTAGCTGTATGAAGAAAACCTATTTGGTTTTTGTATGTACGCAATTTTATGTGAAATGAACTGTACAAGTTTTTCGTTTACTTTATATTAATTTATCCAGTTCGTTGGATTTGTAGTACTAAAAGTTAAACCCAACACATTTTCATACGAATAATGAAATCAACAACTTCGTTAAAAATAATGTAATATGCAAAAACGCTGCACGACAACTTTTAAATTTTTACATATTTATAATATACTTTTATTAAAAAATACCTAGAACACTGCCTTTGGGTTAATATTATCTTATTATTTGATTACCTTTGCTCGGAGAACTATGTCTTCATGTTTCTAGTGAAACCCGTCTGACTTCTATCGAAGTACAAACTGATCTGATGTTTTGTGCCAGGAACTCGTTGGCCTTGCGAGGTTTCGCGCTGATGCAACTTAGTGCACGCGATTATTGTCACGTAGACGTTTATTTACAGATGCCCACAATGAATACCTGCGTACCGAGCACAGGGCTGTCTCTCGATATGTTTCAAAAATATATTTGTTTTGAAATGCAGTTAATGTTGACAAAATTAGGCATTAATTGACCTAAGTTCTATAATTAACCGTTTATCTACAACTAATTATACCTGCATTGTTGTGAAGTATCCTTAATTGATAATTTTTTGTAGCACCATAAGCAAATTGACTCTTTTAAATCAAATATTAAAATTTGAAAATTAATTTTTAATTTTAATAGAAATTTTGGTCGCAGAAAATAGTTTGTAATGAACAGCTGATTAATAAATTAATTTGTTAAATAAATAATATATTTCTTTATATATCTGTATTTTACTGATTAAAATTATCTGTGAGATCAAGGTTGAACTTAACATAATGTTTGTGAAAATCAAAAATAAATGCGGCCTTGTTTAATGATGTAGCATCGTCTGAAAACAACGCCGTGCGCATACTCAGTAGTGCCGCAACGAGGAACTTGTCTGTGCCAAAAGTGGATTATGATATTGGCGATATACTGGTTGCATATTTATGGCATCAGCTCACATTTAATTTCTGATTAACAGAGTTTTGTAATTTTTCCTGTGTTCTATTTTAATTTCAGCTTGATTTACTAATTACTGCACTCAACCCGATAATATTTTCGCTGTTGCTAGGTACACGCTAAAATGTACACAAATCAAAAAATTATATACACGCGAAACGTCATATTTCTGTGGTGGGAGGTATTTGTGTAAATGCATCTTGTTTGTTTTCATTTACTCCCTGACTAGCAGTAGTATTTTATAAACCTTAGAAGCAAATTTCACATACATGAACAAATATTAATAATGCCATGACAACAAGAAAACAAAACAACCAGAAAATTTCAATATATACCTGGCTACGCCGACCGGCATAAACACCAACGGCCTAGACACAGCTCACCTACTCTGTCAAGACGTTTCGCGTGTATATAACTTTTTGAATTGCGTACAAGTTAGCGTGTACCTAGACGCGGTGTGATATTTTCCAGTTATATTACAGGGTGGTATGTAATTTTTTTTGTGTAATTAGAGAATTAATTTATTAAAATAAGTCAGCAATTTAAACACTATTGAAACAATTGCTAATATATTTTAATTAAGATTATATTATTTAGGGCTTGTTATGACTTGATGAGAACAAAAAAAAAACTGTAAAATCTTAACTTACCTCATACGTCAGTTTTAAATTAATCAAAATTTGTATTACGTTATAAACTATTAGAAGTTTTCTAATGTTGTAAGGTTTTCTGTTTTCCATAAATTTTGGCCCTAATTTTTTTACAATAAATAGATAGCCCGCTATAAAGCTGACTACGAAAAGCGGCGAATGAGTCCAATTTTCGACATAGTCATGATCTGAAAAATTAATATTTATTTTTTATTGAAGCATAAATAGTTTATGAGTTGGAACATGAAAGGATATGTCATTATAGTACCGAAAAACTTAATGAAGCACATATATTTCAAGAATAACAAAACAAAAATTCAAAAATAGGATGTAAAAACCCCAAATGGATGAAATTTTTCTGAAATGTATGGTATAAATAAAAAAGTAGGTATTAGCTAATCATATTTTCGGGTTACATACAATATTGATACTTATGTATGTGAGTTAGCGTTATTTAAAAAATGAATCTCTTTCCATTAAAAAAAAATTGTTTTTACTATCTAGCCAAAAATCTAACAATCTGTACATTCCAAAATATTTTTTATATATGACTTCGTCCAGTACCTATAACTTTTGTTTGAATCTTAATCAAAATATCGAAAAAATACGCACTAAATATACAACCGTTATATTTAAAAAATATATACGATTATCTAATTAAAATTTAATAAAACTTTCATAAAAACTAAGATCTTGCATAAAAACTTACCTACTGAATCAACCGTTAAAAAAAAATATGATTTGTAAATTTTTTTCAAAATGAGTGCCATAACTTTAAAACTAAAAACAAGTTAACAGTAAAGGGAATGTCGCCTTTTACATACAACGGCACACAATGAAATGAGTGTCGCTTTTTTGAAAGTAATGGAAAAATAATTATTCTATTTTTAATGCAGTTGCTGCAATTGATTTTTGTATAGAATGGTTAAAAAAATCTAATTTACACTGATTAGCTAATCATAAGGTTTAATATTCAGATATGTATCTACAGGTATAAACGTAAATGTCACACATCTTTAAAACCTTCTTTGAATGTGTATATGGGGTGTTGCTAGAAATATTGTAGTTGTACAACTTTTAGTGTCAAAATTGGATACTTCGTACGATTAATAATTTTTAATAATAATAATAATAATAATAATAATTTTATTGAGAGATAATCTGGACAACGTAAATATTAAAAGAAAAAAGAAATGATATTGAACGTCCACTGCAGTTCATAACTTTAATTTCTTTTTACTTTTTGTGTACACTTTCTAAATATTGAAACATGATAAATTCAATAACAATATCAATAAAAAAATAAAAACAACACAAAATGATAATAACTTAACAAGGGAACTATTATATTATATAAGCTGTGATGGACAAATGTGTGGAACCAAGTAAATATCTCTGGAATTGTTAGAGATATCGAAATGAAAATTGGAAGGTAGGTATGTCATTAAATTGCCTAGCTCTAAGTGTTCCTACCAAGTGCGTATTTTTTTCAAGAGTTGATGGGCTAGAGCTACGCTTGTGTAAAAATTATCGGTATATGTTCTACCCGAGAATACCGATCAAGGAGAAGCGACAGCTTGGTGTTTTCAGTGTACCGTTTTGTAACTCGCATGTGCGAAAATAAGTTGTGCATCACTCAAAATTATGTTATCTGTCAAAGTAAGTCCAAGTTGTGTTTAGTACCTGAGCAATGTTAAGTGATATTTTTTGGTGTTTGTTTCGTGTAGTAATAAGATGAAGATTTTTACACACTTAGGTATTCTAATAGATATAAATTGTGCCAAAAAAGTTACTAGGAAACTAAGAATTTTATCACATGCATAAATATTAAGTATAATGATTTAATCATTTTTGACATTTTATTTTTCATATGTAGGTATTGTATTTTGTGAAATATATGTTTTTCTTCTTTTAAATAAATTTAATAAACAATGAACTGCAGATTTTGTTTATTTTATTTTGAAATTATATTTAAAAAAATATAATAAATTCGCGTATTTCAATTAGGATTGGTCAAAGTGGACAAAATCCCTTTATTATGGCTAAATTGTAAGTTACAATTATGTCAATATAAAGATGTTTTGCCCATTCATATTTACATTTATTGAATGATTCATACTGGAGTTGATTTTGGAAATATTGGTGCAGACTTAAATAAGTACTATTTCTAAAAATTTGTCTATGCACACATAGTCCAATGGAAGTCCACTTTAGATCTATTTGAGGACCAGTACGTCCATATCTGGGCATCCAGTGTACGTCCGTTTATGCTAATTAAATTGACAGCTGAGTGTCGATACCCAGAAAACGTCTGTTTTTGGACTTAATTTTAAGTTCAGTAGTATTTTGACGTCCAGTGGACGTCCATCTTAGGTCATTATTTACTAAGCCTACCAAATAATACCCATCTATATATACTTCTTTTTTTTAATATAACTGGTCATTAAAAATTGACAAATTGAATCTATTGCATTTCATTCTATCAGCGGAAGTTTGAAATCTTATTCAATTATAACTGTATGTAGTAAAAAGTATTCAAGTGGTTCCTTGGTCGAGCTCGTCTAGCGATTGAAAGCGTAAAACGATAATGAATGTGTCGTGAGTTTGATTCCTGCTCAGGTCAAGCGATTTTTAATAAAAAATAAATAAATGGTGTATAGCGATTTGCGAAAATAATAAACAAATTATTAATAATATAAAATAGTGTGTGGTGAGTTGCGGTCCTGTAAAAAAGTGGGGATGTGGTCTCAATGGAAATATAATCTCGGACGTTTTTTGAATGTCCAGTATTCGACGTCCAAATATATTCCAGAATTGGACGTCTTCTGAATGGTCAAAAGTGTGCCATTTGTATACTTCACTGGATGTCCATTGGATGTCGGAAGTCCAGAAAACTCATTTTTGGACGTCTGGACATCCAAAATTGTATATCGAATGGACGTCCAATGGACATATTTGTATTATCTGGGTAATAGCCAGGCCAGGTATTTAACTCTAAATACATAAACCTTAAATAACATCTGGTTTAACTTGGCGAGAAAACACTTGTTTCTACAGAAATAAGTGATAAACTTGTAAGTCCTTTTAATATAATATAAATCTAGAAATTCTAAAAATATGTAAGTATTTTTTAAACCTAAAAGCTTTGAAAATATATGCACATTGCAAATATTTAGTTAAGCCTCTCAAACTTAATGTCTTTTTAATTGTTACCTAAATTTTTTTGGCACCCTTAATTTTATTTACCTTATTTTTAGTTAAGGATAAAATAATTTACATTTTTAACAATAAATAAACCAAATATTGAACAAATTATAAAATAATAAACGTCTTTTACTTTTATAATAAATAATTAATTATTACATAATGAATTATATTTTGGTGCCGAAATTTCAGCATTGCTATTAACCCTAACTACTTCAATGTAATTAAATCACATTGCAATATTTCCGCGTGGACTATAACAATCATTTCAGATAATTTGCCAAACTATTTCGCTCAGTGTAGAAAATAAGCATGTTTTCTGAGCGTGCTAAGTTGTGTATCAGTCAAAGTCATACTGTGAAAAAGGTACATCCGATATCAAAGGCACCGACAGCTACTGTCGCTTCTCCCTGATCGGTATTTTCGGGTTCTACCACTATCGAGTAATTGTTGCATTAACTCAAGGACTACTTTGTTAGCTAATGGTGTATTAACATTATTGACCCCATCCTACCCTCCATAGATTTTTAAGATGAAAGTGTAGGCTTTGTTGAGACACAATATAAAAAGTTCTACCCCATACTTATGGCGCTTTCCGGGTATGTATTGTTTGCAGCTTAATTTGCCACGAAATGGTACCATGGTCTCATCTATACAAACATTTTCATCTGCTGTCAAAGCATTTTGAAATTTTTTATTTAGAAAGGCCACCAATGGTAAGATTTTATAGAGGCATTCATTATTATTTGGAACCTCGTTATCAGACTAGTGAAAGTTCGATAAAAGAGTCTCAAATCGTTTTCTTGACATCAGTTTTGAAACATCATTTCTATATACAATCTTAGTACTCCAGTAGTCCCTTATAGACGGTTTTACAGATAATCCCATCCAAATAATTATACCTATAAAAAGACAGATCTCTTTGTCATTTGTGTCAGTCCAATTAGCAAGAAGTTAATTTTTCGAAATCGTCTCGTTTAAAATACCATTTATAGTTTTTTGCTCCGCAGACAAGTTGGTTTCTCTAACAATTTCTGCGTCCAAGAACAGTTTGTAAAAATTCTAACGGAGTATCCCCTATTCTTTTATTTTCAAATTCATTTTCACACTAGGTGTAATTTGAAACAGAAAATTATTCATTTGACCTAAAATATTTTATTTCTAAGACAGTGAAACAAATTTATTTGTACTCAAACTTACTGCTAACATCGTTCCAGTAAAATTCCTTGTTTCCATTTTCTTCTTCATCATTCTAGTGAAAATTCCCGGATATTTTATCCGAATTATTGTGCACAGGATGGTCCTCATTTACCGTTTGAATTCCTGAAGGACCCGCCGAATTATCTTCCAAATCATTCGTAGATAAAAGTCCCAATTGATCATCCAATTTACGTCTTTTATTTTGGCATTAGACTGCTCTCTGACTCTGAAGATTCATCGTCACTAGTTTGGATCCTCATCCGAATCGTCAAAATATGAATAATCAGACAACTCATTCAAGTTTTCTGCCACACATTATAATTCTTGGGCACTAAGAACCTTCTTTCTAGACATGTTTGACGAAAAACAAACAAAATTAATGTATTAAACGCACTCGAACACCCACGGACCAACAGCTGATCGATAAATATCAAATTAAATGGGAATGTGTACCTAACACGGTTACGCTTTATTAGGGAGTGTCTATTAGTTGCCGAAGGCTTAATACATCCAGCATCGAATAAAAAATTTTTACTTGACTATTTTGAAAATTTTGTAAATCTAAGTTAAAATCACCCATGCAAACAATTTCGTCATGCGTAGGAGCTATCGTGATTAGGCAGTCCTCAAGTTCATTAAGAAAAAGATTAGTATTTTGTTCATGTGGCTTGTATAACACCCCTACCGCAACTAACTTTCTTTCAGTGACTATTTTAATCCAAAATTAAAAGAAATTATCTTAATACTAACATATAAACATAACCCTTTCCATCTACAGTTTCTGTTCGCCCTGTATAAATAGTAGCCATCAAAATTTACATAATTATCACTAATATTATGATTCAACCATGTTTAACACACCAACAATATGTCTAAAGAATTGTCTAAAACCAATTGTTTAATATTGTATATGTCGATGATATCTTTTGCTTAATAGAAGGTGGTCTTAGACAAGATCGGTTTCAGTTTTTGGCTACTGTTACCTTAATGAATTGAAGAATAAACAACTTTTTTAATTAAAAATAAAGGAAAATGTAAAATTGTTCAACATGACCAACATGAATAGAAAAACAAGATACTATGTTAGTATTCACAAACCTCTACTCAACTGACCAAAATACTAGTTTTCATCTATCAAAAGATTTAAAAAACATTTTTTCTACTACCGTGCGTAAAGTACGTACTTTACGCACTCCACGAAGTGTGTAAAGTTGTACTTTTTTTCAATAGTGCGTAAAGTAAAACTCTTCGACAAAATTTGTACATAACAACAAAATATAACGTTTTATTTTATATTAACATTTTTTTGCTATCTCCTTCTAAGACAAATTAATAAATTATTTTTGCTTATATCTATTTAGTGTCCAACAAATTATCAACAGTTTATTTTAATTATAATTTTCTCTAAATGTCATCGATTTAATTAAAAGTAAACATACAGTGGATGTCGATTTTGGTAAAAGTAAGTTGGCCGTGGCTGTGTGGATTAGAAGAACTGTCAATCTCTAAACTTTTAATTAGTACCTACCTTATAACAGAACACGACAAAAGTATACTTA